AAATATCTTAAATTTCCATATAATTAAGTGTTATAACAATCACATTTATAGCTTCCGAAGTTTATAGCACACTGACTATAGCAAACTAATATTATATACTTCCTTTTAGGCGCGTCGCGTTGGTTATATTTATAGCCGTGTGGAGAGTTTTTCGAAATTTCAGATTACGTAACAATACAAAGCTGCAATGGCGTTTACATACATACATATATTGTTGATTCTTACACTCGAGAATCCTCTACAACTTTAGGGAATAGGTGGGAGTTTCGCAATACATATTTAACAGTATAAGTTATGTACATTTCTAAATATAAGTTTAATTTAAGCAAACATCGATATTAAAATAAACAAATAATAATAAATCCGTCACACCAGTTAGAAAACGCCGTATTTTGCTTACTACAGGTGGGATAAAACTTGTTGTAGGTCTCTTTCTAGATGGTCCTGGTTCCTCAAGTTGACCCACATTCCCTTTTTTCCAATGCTATTAAGGAATACAATCTGAACAGATTTTTATGATCTGCGTATATGAATATTTCAAGTCGCTAGTGGCTGCTACTACAAAAGCGTTCAATATTCGGTAACACACATTACCTACAAAGCCCCAAACAGCGTCAAAATATATTTCTGTTACATTACACTCCATATGACTTTATAGCAGATGTCATTGACCCATGACATGTTGATTTACATATATATAAAATCGTTTTAATACAATGTACTCAACCTTGCATATTGTTATAGAACCTGAGAAGAATTTGGGGAAGATGTACATAGATCTGTACTTTATTTTGTTTCTTATATGCTTTAATATTTCCACCATATAAGTTCTATACGGTTTAATGAAAGAGTAAGAACATGCTACATGTATTTTCATTTGTAGCTTAGTTCCCAATCATTTGATTATATTTTAAGGCTGGGTTGAATTCAGCAATATGTCGGCACATATTTTATTCCTTTAAGGCAATCACTTCAAAATTTCTGTTGTAAATAATATGATGATTACAATTTTGTGTTTATGTTAAATTTATTTTATTCCTTATCCAAATAATAAAGAATATAGCCATACATTCAACTGTACTTACTGAAAACGGTCTTTCGGATCCAATACTGGAACAATCATCTTTAATTAGGAAGCTTAAAAAAGAACACATTAAGCTGTTCTTTACAAGGTACGTAATGATTATATACACCTGGAAAACTTTGAACAATAACTATTTAATTTAAAATATTTTAAATACTCCAGATGGAAAAAACAATTGGCATTAAAATCGTCAAGTCAGATGTGATTCAATGGCTAGACTACATGACATTCATCCAGAAGAGGTTGTAAATAATCGATTCCTCAGCTCCTGTTGACAGACATTTGTAAAGCCATCTTCGAAGTAACCTTTAGACTTGCTGTATATTTTGAATATAACCGGATGTTCCTTTCTATCCATTATGTTGAGCCGCGTTATCAACGAGCTTTCTTGCTGTTTTTGGTTTCATATGTATTATTACACATATGGTCAGGTTTACAGATAAAGGTATCTTATTTTCGAAATTTGCAAAATTTATTTTAAACATTTGAAGCACGTTGAAATAAATAAATTGGTCTAATGTCCACTAGCCTAAATTGCTCTGAAAATCATAGGCCAGTTGAAACAAGTTTTACTTAGTCCTAGTTTTATAACTAAATTTTCAGAAAATATTATTTCACATAAATCTGATTAGTTATGATTCTTTAGAGACTGAGAAAAAAAATTATTAATATGTACATGATACGTCTAAGTTCTAACTAAATCATCCTCAATTAGCTCAAACTTTTCCAGGGCTCAGCAATAAGCCTGAGTGCTTACAAAATTAAAAAATCGGGTTTCGATAGCCGTGGTGGACAAGGCACAGACAGCCTATTCTATAGCTTTGTATAAAACAAACAAAAAAACCTCAATTTTTGTGCTATAAATAAATTGAAATCATCCACACAATTAAACATTTCAGTACACAACTATAACTTCGAGGTTGTATGTACCAGAGACACAAACGTGCTGTTACTTTTGCTTCTTCCCGTCACTGCAGTTATGGAGGTATGGATGAACTGCAGCATGTCCAAGAAAAAACAACATATACCTGTAAACCAGATCCATGCAAACTTGGAAAAGGATGTTGTCAACAATTCTCGGCTTCCATGCTCTCACAGGACCAGATGAAACCAGTCAGTTCTGTGTTTTTTTACAAGAAAACAGCATGGAAAATGTTTTCAAAATGTCCCGAATTATTGGAGAGTCTCGGTTGGGGTGATGGTGTCAACACTGTACACATTGAGCGTTTTCTTATCAAGATGTACAGTTCTGAATCCACAGCTAATTCTGTCAATGATCTGTGTGTTGAGATGTCTCACTGTTCCAATGAACCGGAGAAAATGCCACCCACTTATAATGCACTGGTTATGTACATCAGAAGAAGCCATTACCAAGCCAAGATTTCAATGAATGCTGGTCTCTCCTATCCTAGTCTTCCAGACCAGAGGACAGCGTATTGATTTGCAACACTGATCGTACTTTACGTCCACAATTGATGACACTAGAACCTATTCCATCTGTGTGCAATCGATGACACTGGAACCTATTCCATCGGACGGTGGACACGAAATACTATTTTTGGTGATAGATATGGGAAATTGTGAAGATGTGTGATGAGTTGGTGCATCAGTCGTAGCAGTTTTGTGTAACTCTGCTGGAATATTATGTAGTGATTGAGACCGCTCAATTACAGTATTTCCTTTGTTCTGTTCATTAAGTGAACCACGCTAGAAATCTGCTATTTACATGACATTCAGCGTACCTTTGCCGTCCATGATCTATTCTTGCCTATCAAAATTACCTGTACTGAACTGCATGAATTTTCCAGGAACAATGCAATATGAACTGAAGATGTTGTCATTTTCTTGAAACTGTGAGGGCTGTGTTTAAGCTATAGATATGTCGATTCTATTAACAGCAGTGTAACTGATGGAATCGCCTGTGGATTGAAGTTAATCAATTAGTTGTTTTGTGTTGTTCATGTGATGAACATGGAGTCCAGTTAGAATATGTTTTGGTGTCCAAATGATATATTATAGAAAATGATTTGTTCGATGTTCAAAATCCTTCATTGGGTTGTTTCATAATTTTATGATCATCTTCATGATCTCGGTTTTCTTTTTGTGCATCAAGTGGGTCCTCATCATCTTGTAGCCTCCATTTAATGAGTAAGTAAAGATTGTTTGGGATGCATTGTTCTGTAGCTTCTAGGTTCACGATATCGTAACCTTGATGACCTGGAGATGCCATTTTATCGGATTTAAGATTACATGCCACAGTATGAAGTGGTTAATTTCAAAACTTTCAAACTAATCAGCATCATTTGTGTCAATTTCCTTTTCGATTAAGACGATAATAGCACCTTCGGTTAATGCAGGGGCTGGTTGACTTGTTTCTGCTTTCTGGATGTAATTTTGTCACCATATTTCTTGTGCAACTTTTTGTTTGAGAACATGCGTATGGTATGATTGATCAGTGTACCAGAATCTTTCATGAGAGACGTGTACTTTTCATTCAATTTGTCTATACTATATATGTGACCACGCTGAAAGCTTGTGTCCAGTATTTATAGGAGTCTCTGAAAAGGTGTGTCAAATTTCTCTTGTTCACTTTCTTGAATATTAACAGAGTGATTGGTTTGGTATGTTTTTTGCTTGCGTGAAGAATGATCGTGGGCTTCATGTGCAATTAAATGATTTTCACCGATTCTGCATCTTATAGTTTGTTCTCTTGTTGCATTAAAGCCTGTGTAGTAAAACTGTCTTCAACTAAATATGACTTGAAATAGCATAATTTTACAGTTACTGTGAAATATAATATCTGACATCACTTGTGTCAAGCACAATATGCCCTAAAATTTGCAATAGGCTGGAGACTGGCGTTCTTCCACAGAAGTTTCGCTAAAAGTATACATAATGCAAACTATGTAGAAGTGATTAGTTAACAACAAATTTCAATATTCTATGATAAGCAACAGAAAATTAAAGATCGGTATGAATTACGTGAACAATATATATCCAATATAACTACAAAATCTGCAAACCAAATCAATATAGCACTAACCGACAAATTGTCAGCAAGAAAATATAACAGGTAACTTTGAGTTTATGCGAGTGACAGCTATATATGTATACAGTATCCTATCAAAAGACATGGGACACACTTCTGATTGCAGGAAAATGAGTGCGACGACGAAATATGCAAATAATTTGGCTTATAAAGTTGATCAGCGGTTCACTCGGAAGTCATTTCGAACTTGTACGCCGAACGAAAAAAGCTACCAGAGTTTCAGAGGGGAAGGATAGTTGGATGTCATTTGGAGAAAATGTCTGTACGTGCTATTGCGCAACAATTAAACATTCCCAGGTCGACAACTAGCAAAGTGATGAAGAAATGGGAGTCCAGAGGTGACAATGAGCCCAAGAAACGACCAAGGAGGCATAAAATACTGACTGACAGGAGCCGACACGCCTTGAGAAGGCTGGTTACCTGATTGTGCTGTTCCAGTGGCCAGCACAGATCCCTGACCTCAACGTAATAGAATATATTCGAGATGAACAGAATAAGAGTAAGACGGCCCTCCAGTAGTGAAGCTTACGAATTCTTTAAAGAAGGAGTGGAGCACAATACCAACAGCTTTCTATCAGAAATTAGTAGACAGTCTTCCACAATGCGTTGAAGCAGTCATTAAAGCCCAAGACAGGCCAACACGCTATTATTTTCTTGGAATAAAGACATGTTTTATTCATAACTACCCGTGTCTCATGGCTTTTTGGTAGGATATTGTATATCCAAACTTTAAACGTCTCGTATTAATGTGTAGGAAAATGATTGGGGATAATTTTTGGACATCAAACTTGAGGGTATGTGCTGTGGATGTGAAGGTATTGAGACGAATGACCACGATAAAAACCTAAACCGAAATAAAATTTCAAGGAAAAAATTAAGATTTTCACTCACAAAAGAAAATATTCCAAGAGTAACATTAAATTATTTTACATTATGATGGGATAATGTATTCTCTTTAAGTTTATACCAAAAACAACTCCATACGATGAATACTTTGGAAGATGTATCGATCTTTGCCGATTTCAAATTATCAAAAATTTTGTTTCACTGGAACGCAAGAAATACGCTGTCATCCGGTAATGCACACTCTGCAACATGACAACCAACCTATACTAGTCCCCATAAGACCCCTCTACAAGAATATATAGGTTTTAGGTATAATGCTGGGTGTGTGAACGGGATTGAAAGATGATACCGTTAACATCTGATGTTTGATTCCTCAGAGCAATCAGAGCGCAGATAGCCCATTGCGCAGCTATGTTTTAAAAGAGCAACATTATGAGCATATTTGGTTTAGTTTTAACCATCTTTGTAGGTTCCTATAATTGAATCTATATCGCTATATTGATGAAACTGAATCATTAAAAGTAATATGAAATTCTTATGAAAGACCCGTATAGTGGAATAACTAAATTAGTGTGGGAGCCAGAACTGAAAAAAGTGACTTAGGTTGTAAGCTTACTGCTGACCCATCGAGGGACAAAGCGCTCATCTAACAAAGATGCATATATTCAAAATCACTTATTACAATCTTCGTCATAACAACCTTCAATATTTTTATTTAGGAATTGACAAAAACACTTCTTTCAAGAAATCATAAAGCAAAATGTTACTCACTGCAAAATATTTCAAGTTTTATTTTTTATTCAGTTATTTTATATATGTGGAAACAACGCAGAGTTTCAGTGCATATTATATGATAACGATATAGTACTGTTTCTATTTTTGATAGTGTTGTCTTGTTTAGCTCACTTATAAAACCAGCATTTATCTAAACGATGACATGACTTAAATGTTATTTTGGTTCACTAAGAGTAATTTACTGAAAATAACTAAACAGAAGTGTATTTTTATCCATTGAATTATTTACATCTGTTACGAAAAATCCTTTTAACCATGTCCGACTAATAGATTTTAATAGAAATTAAAACTTAGAAAATATTAATATAAGAAATATAAACTACGTTTTAATGCCAAGTTTACTGACATAGTTTGAAGCTAAAGTTGTTTGATTGAATTTTGAAGGTATCTCTAAAAAGTGATATGCGTAGTTTGACAGACTAGCGCATATATGGTTAAGATTGGTGATTGTAAACGTAAGGATGTTTGTCTGGTTTGATCTTTCATACTTATGTGAAATTTTAACACAGATTGATGGACATAAAGAGTTTTGAGTCTTTATTTTCCGGTCTCATTTACACAGAGATTTTCAGCATGTTAGTTATAGTTTTAAAAGGAAGACAGAAGACAATGTCCACATTTATATACCTGCATCATTTGAGTTACCAAACGTAGCATGGTAATCAGTCTAAACATTCCAGATCTTGATTACTTAAATTAGTAATAGCCGTAGTGATAGGGAGCGTAGTGCCCGTAATAGTGTCCTGGGTAATAACCACCGTAATAAGTAGTAGGAAGAACAGCTTTGTTGACCAGAGTGTTGGCGGGATCCTTAGAGCTGTCTGTACCTGGTTCGTTGGTATGAACGTTAGCATTGAAGCCACTAGCGTCAGCTTTATAAGTTACGACGCGCCTGCGACCATCAGCATCAGTCAATCCATAGGAGCCGACCTTGACGTTACCGAGAGCGTCACCAAACTCTCTGCGGAAGGTTCCTCCGGTGGCATGACCCTCATTGTAGCCAAAGTTATAATTGCCGATAGCCTGTATTAGAAAATAAAAATTGTCGTTTGTCACCATAAAAGGCTTGTACGGCTCTGTTCTCTAGTTTACCCTAGTCTGGGATCACTGCTAAGGGATAGGATTTACAGAAATAACCACTGCTTAGTGACATGTGAACATTCAAGAAATAGATTTTACCTAACTAAAATGTTATTTTTCTAATTAAGAAGGAAAAATAAGAGCTAGAATCCAAGAATTTAAAATTCATTCTCTGCTCGCATGAAAAATAAAACAAGGATACAACAATATTTATTAAATTTTATATCTCGTGGATGATAACAAATGATGTTAACTGTTCGTTTTCATATATAATCTACTTCATTGTTTGAGTATCTCGTAATACATAAGTTTTGAGAGTGAATCCACGCTATAGATCTTGGAAATAATTCCGTCAAAACGTACGACAGGAATATCACACTAACTAAAGGTGACTTGTATTTATTAATACGTTCACTTACGGAATCAACATGTAAATTCTTTCAAACATAAGATAAATTCTACTTACATCTTGGTTTTTAAACTGTGTACTGGCGCCAGCTCCGTAATAATATGCAGGGTGGTACAAATACCCAGCATGGGCAGTAGCAATAACGGCAAGAACGATCAGGGCC